TTTATGGTTCACTTACATGATAATGTCATCATGAAAATACTCTCTGCAGGAGTGTGTGCACCAGCCTGAGGGCTCTTACCAATTTGATGATGCTCATGACCACTTACATTACATTAATTGTTATTGTACAGATTGAAAAAAGCAGGTGAGGAGGGAGACCTGTGCTGTTACACTCAGGATAGAGGTGGCATTTGCATATTTTTCACTCCAAAAACCAATGGCATGAATGACACTGTTTCTCATTTAAAAGATCTCTTGATTTCACCTTTCCTTTTGAGGGGTTTGGACACACACTGTCATGGTGTTTTAGAAGCAAGGGAGTGCCTATACCTCTGCGGGTCTCTGGTGTCCTTCAAACAGGACATTGTAATTTCCTCAAGGGCAACCATGGGGCTCAAGGACTATTCCTGCCCCCCCAGGGCTTCTCCCCACCCTGCCCAGGACCCCATTTCAGCCCGCCTGCGGCCCTCAGCCCATGCCTCACTGATGCCATAGGGTGCCAGTCTCCAGCTCCCCCAGCCCTGTCCTGCTCAGCCATGGGCCCTGTGGGCTGTTGTGCCAGCCTGGCCTTGGCCCATCCACATCCCCATCCCTGGGGAGGTGCCTGATGCCCCCTGGTGTGCTCTGCTCCCTCTCCGGGGGGTGGGATGGGTCTGGCTGTGAGGCTCTGCCCTGCCACCCTGGGGCAACCCCCGATGGTTCCAGTCCCCAGCAGCCCCTGCAGGATGCACCCCAGCACCTGACAGGAGGTACCCACTGGTGCTGTGGGAGACGGACACCTGGAGGCCAGTTGTAAGTGGTGTACCCCAGGGGCAACACTGCTGTCGATACTGTTCCAACCATGTGGTACAACACAGGGAAATGTCCAGGGGAGGAATAGTCCCACGCACCAGGACAGGTTCTCTTGGCCCAAGTGGGAGAGTTGGGTCCTACCACATAGCTGAGGACCATGCAGCTCAACAGGAACTTAACATGGCTTCCTAGCAGTCTCAGCTTCACATCTTTGCAAAGGGTCTGGGTTCTGCAGCTATCACTTTTTGACCCACCAAAAAGAAATAGAGAGGGGGGAGAGCAGCTCCTACCCGGTTCTCTGTGGGCATTGATCCAGAGTAAAAGGATGGTGATGAGAACAACATCAAGGGCACATTCCTCAGCAGACTGCTGGACGAAATAGGAGGACAGGGTGGGTTTTGCTGCTGCTTGGGTTCTGGGTTTTTCTGTTGCTCCCCCTCTCTTCTTTCAGTACCTCATTCTTTGAATTACCAGAGAAAACAATTAACATACCAGTCAACACTAACACAATGTGTCTGTGGATGTTATCAGGCTTTCTACCTCTTTGTAACTTTGTATGGAAATACATCATGTTGCATCCACTCAGTTGCTATTCCTTGTAAGGTTTCATCTTAACAGAAGTAGTGGGGGCTTTACACCTTCGTGCTGGTGGTGGATCCACCACAGGCTGGAGCTGGGCAAAATAAAATCTACAGATGAGCAAGAGGTGGCAGTGTTGTAACGGAAAAAAATCTTTGGCAAGCAGCTGTCTCCCGTCTAAATCAGTGTGTTAGCTTAACTGTGATGAATGGGAGCCTGGATTATTCAATTTTGGGAACTGCATTTTTTTTTTTTTTTTTAATAAAGTGAGTTGGAGCACACAGCTACACTTTGCCTGGATAGAGGATCTGCGACCCCTTACAACCCCTAGCAATCCACATTTACACCTAGATCTCTGCCAGGTGTGACAACACCCCTTGCTGGGAAGGGAGGCTGCACAAAAAGCATCCCATGGACCTGAGCAGCCTTACCTGGGGCCTTCACTGCCCTGGCCCAATCCCTCACACCACCTGTGTGAGCCCCATTTCAGCTCAGGCCTGGGCCTTCACTCCCCAGCCCTGTCTCCTAGAGGTAGCTCAGACCTATGCTGTAGGCATCTTGTCTCCTGCATGGACCCCCTGTCTGGATGTTCTAGCTTGTCTCCAGTCCCATCTCCAGCCCCATCTCTTCTGACTGTACTCTCCAGGTGGCTTCTAGACCTCGCTTATCACCTGCCTTCTCTGGGATTGGTGACGGACCATGTTACCAGCACCCAGCTGTGCCCCGCTGGTGAGGGCACTGCCTGTGTGCGGGTCCACCCTGGCTCCCAATTCACCTTGCCTTGGGGAGCAGACAGCCCTTGCTGTGATGATGTTTGGGCACACCACTTATGCACAAATGAAAAAGTGGTCCTGTAGCCATGGGAGACTTAAGGCTGCTCAGCCTTAAGTCTCACTCCTGTTTGCTCTTCAATAAGCAACAAGCTGCCCCCATGCTGTGGCAAGCATCAGTTTGGGGACCCTGCTCTGCCACAGCTGGTGGGGGTGGCCATTTGTTGAGGAGACAAAAGACAAGGTCATGCACGCCCAGGGGAACTTGGTGCTTCTCATACAGTGTCTTTACCTGGGAAACAGCCTGGCAGCCCTGGATAGACAGTTGGAGAAGATGCTCATTCATGCCCTTCCTCTTTGCAGCTGGTGGCTGTACCCAAGTTTTTGGCAAGACTGTGCAGAAGGGGTGTGGGACCTGCCTGGAGCCCTTCCATGTGGTGTGTCTGCAGTGGCAGCTGTAACCAGATTGGAAACGAAAACATAAGTACTGATTAAGCATTCAAGTATTGCCCTTTTAATTCCTCCCTAGTAAATGGCAAATACTGTTTTGTATGTGGTAATTGACTGGATGGGAGGTTGGAGATCGCGTCTGATTTGCATGGAGTGGGGGAATGCCTTCTCCCCTGCAGGCACTACTGGGAGCAACAGAAAGACCACACGGAGACAGGCTTTGTCCCAGAAGTCCCTCCCATCTTCTGGTCCACTGTGATTGGCTGGTAGGACCCTACTGGATTCCCAAAAAACGCCCATGCCAACCCAAAGAACCAGCTGGTGGGCTTGTGAGCCACAAATTACATTTACAAGGTGTAGCACAGAGAGAGCAGATGGTGGCAGGGAGCTTCCTTTGCTGCTGATTCTAGTGGCTCTTACAACAACCTTTAGACTGTGACAGGGTGCAGGCTTATGCTATATGTGCTTCCTATAAGGTCTGTATGGTCGGTGACCCCACTGAACACTTCAAAAAACTCTGGCTGGTAGTCTGGGCATGGAGAAGTTAGAAGCATGCTGTGACCTGCTGGTGTTCCTGTCCAGGCCAGCAGCAGTCAAAGAAAGAAAAAGAATGGGTATGGAAGTGACAGTGATGTTCTATGGCAATAAAAAGACAAAGCCTGGAGAGCCCTCCCTGGCAACCAAGTCCCCTCACACCCTGTTAATAAACTTCCTCTGTAGTGTTAAAGTTATAGTCCAGCTTTATATTTTGTACATGTGTCTAGTAGTGGCATGTCAGTAGATGTGTCTACACCACCACTTCTGTTAAAAGACATTTAAGATGCTCCTGAGGAGGTGGGAAGCCCTTTTTGAAGCTGCTAAAAGGTGAATTGCTGTTTTGAAGAGAAGCCTGGCTTGCAAACAAGGACTCCTACAGATTACTCAAGGCAGAAAGAAAACACTTAAAAGAATTAAGGAGATTGTGGCAGAAGTGGATGCACAGTGGCAGGCAGACTTGGTGGACATGTAACAGACTTCCAAACGCAATAGTGTTACAACTTAATGGTGACGGACATATTATCCAAGCATGCCTGGGCCATTGGTCTACAAGGCAAACAGGTTCTGAAATAGCCAGGGCTTTTAAAACAGTTTTTATCAGGGAGCACTACCCTCAGAAATTACAGACCAACCCAACAAGAGAATTTTTAAACCAACCTTTAAATAAGCTGTTAAAGCAGTGTAATGTTTGCCAATTTTTTTTGGCAAAAAATGAAGTAAAAGCCTCTGTCACAGTTGTGCAATAACAGAGCTGTAAATAATATTTACAGCTATGGCCATGGTTATACAGTGTATGACAAAGGCCCCAAAGGTTTCTTAGGCCAAATACCTTTCTGACATCCTTAACATCATAATAATGTTAATTGTGTAAAAGGAGGAATATCTAAGACTGTTGTTCGGCTTAAAGATCCCCCAACCCTTTTTCCCCTTGGTTAGGAGGGTGGTGCATGTATTAGCTCCTGACGTCACCTTCTGCCCTAATGTGAGATGTTCACTGGCCCACCATTTGGTCCTGTCTGCAGCCTTTTTGTCCCTGTGACCCCTTGCCAGCAAGATGCTTGAAGCAATGTAAAATTAATGTATCTTTCCTAATCAGCACTTTGATGTAACAGTTTTTCCTGTTTTGCTGTCTCATAAGCCAAGACCCCAGAAGGAAAGGCCCCACCAGCTCCATTATCACCACCATCCTTCCTGTTGCTCCTCTGCACCCTAAAATAATCAAGGGCCGAGCTGAAAAGCTCTGCAACACCCCAGTGCTCCTGCTGATCCACAGGGCCCTCTTGGTCAGTTTGTTGGAGGGGTCCATGCTCCCTCTCCTGGTGTCCCTGGTCACGTTGGTGCCACAGTGTGGGCGGGAGGGGGGGAGAACCTGCCTTTTATTTAATTACTTTTTACTCATATTAAAACTTTATTATTCCTCCCATTAGCTGTTAGTAAAAGATGTTTCATCTACTTCATACCTATGCTTCTACAGATATATATGTATTTAATGTCTGTATCTTTAGGAATGCCTATACATATATACACATACCAGTACACCAGCATATACATGTAATGTGTATATACATAAACTAGTGTATCTATGTATAAATAAATAAAATATATACTCATACATATTTGTACACTTTTTTATATATGCACCTCCATATCACAAGTGTGGTAAATGACTGTATACACTTCCATATCTGCGCATTTCCTGGCCCGAGGGAAGCAGGGAGCCAATCAGCGGGAGACCAAAGGACACGTAGTTATAACGGCAACCAGCCAATCGCAGGGCAGGACAGTGGCAGGG